ACGTCATTTTGGGGACGATTTAAATCCCCGCTTAGCGCCGAGGATAATGACCGGTTCGAATTTCACACCTCGACTCTGTATCTTTAACCTAAAAGGCCAGAGCGATCTTAGGCCATACGTTGCGAGAATGAGGAGAAAGCTTTAAGTTACCGCAAGAATGATCGTTCACTTAGGCCCTAGGAACGTTGACATTTCCACTCCCGATTATTTATGACCCCGGTTCTACCTTTAGCGCACCTCCCGTCTTTCACGCGTTACACAAAACCCACTGACAAATTTATGGGCGAAGGAATTAAGAAATTCTACATTCGAGCCCATTTACTAATGGATCCTGTCGAGTGAACGACTTGGAAGAATACACGTAAAGATCGCATTTATATGAAGTCGGAGTAGAAGGAGCGCTTACAAACATTTTAAGGTATACAATAAAAAAGGCTTGACATTTTCCTTTTTCCATTCGTATCGCAAACACCGGTACTATATATTGCAACGATAAAGTATTCTTATAGTAATCACTCTGGTATCAATACTGGCTGAAAACAAGCTCCTCCCCAATGAGCAACAAAGAAGAGCACAGATTTTATTACTTGTTTTAGAACTGCAGAGAGAATATTACTGCCCCCAGCGCCATGCCGGGATATCAGATCGTCTGTTCCATGCTTGTGCAGAATGTACTCTTGTTAAATCATTGCTATGTGACTATATTGCACCAATCCAGTACAAGTGTTTTAGTACCAAGTTATATTTTTATTTTGTTTATAAAACACCGCAGAGAATAATAACTGCCCACAGTACCACAACACAAAACCAAAATACCGCGTCCGATCTGCTATAATGATAACCTTGTGACGTGTGAGCTAAAAAACATTTATTTAATCAGGTGATTTTAGCAAGTTAACACAAAATGTTAAACAATTTTTCGCTACCCCCTACAGTTGAATTGTTGATACATTGTGCCACACATGCGGTGTTACTCTATGCTACCAGTGTTACTCTCAATCTACAGTTGAAAGGTTGATACATTGTGCCACACATGCGGTAGAGAGGAGTTGCAGATGCGGACACTACCAGTGTTACTCTCCAGCTACAGTTGAATTGTTGATACATTGTGCCACACATGCGGTAGAGAGGAGTTGTAGATGCGGAGACTACCAGTGTTACTCTCCAGCTACAGTTGAATTATTGATACATTGTGTCACACATGCGGTAGAGAGGAGTTGCAGATGCGGACACTACCAGTGTTACTCTCCAGCTACAGTTGAATTGTTGATACATTGTGCCGCACATGCGGTAGAGAGGAGTTGCAGATGCGGACACTACCAGTGTTACTCTCCAGCTACAGTTGAATTATTGATACATTGTGCCGCACATGCGGTAGAGAGGAGTTGCAGATGCGGACACTACCAGTGTTACTCTCCATCTACAGTTGAATTGTTGATACATTGTGCCACACATGCGGTAGAGAGGAGTTGCAGATGCGGACACTACCAGTGTCACTCTCCAGCTACAGTTGAATTATTGATACATTGTGCCACACATGCGGTAGAGAGGAGTTGCAGATGCGGACACTACCAGTGTTACTCTCCAGCTATAGTTGAATTGTTGATACATTGTGCCGCACATGCGGTAGAGAGGAGTTGCAGATGCGGACACTACCAGTGTTACTCTCCAGCTACAGTTGAATTGTTGATACATTGTGCCACACATGCGGTGGAGCGGAGTTGCAGATGCGGACACTACCAGTGTTACTCTCCAGCTACAGTTGAATTGTTGATACATTGTGTCACACATGCGGTAGAGAGGAGTTGCAGATGCGGACACTACCAGTGTTACTCTCCAGCAGCTACACCAGCTACAGTTGAATTGTTGATACATTGTGTCACACATGCGGTAGAGAGGAGTTGCAGATGCGGACACTACCAGTGTTACTCTCCAGCAGCTACACCAGCTACAGTTGAATTGTTGATACATTGTGTCACACATGCGGTAGAGAGGAGTTGCAGATGCGGACACTACCAGTGTTACTCTCCAGCTATAGTTGAATTGTTGATACATTGTGCCGCACATGCGGTAGAGAGGAGTTGCAGATGCGGACACTACCAGTGTTACTCTCCAGCTATAGTTGAATTGTTGATACATTGTGCCGCACATGCGGTAGAGAGGAGTTGCAGATGCGGACACTACCAGTGTTACTCTCCAGCTACAGTTGAATTGTTGATACATTGTGTCACACATGCGGTAGAGAGGAGTTGCAGATGCGGACACTACCAGTGTTACTCTCCAGCAGCTACACCAGCTACAGTTGAATTGTTGATACATTGTGTCACACATGCGGTAGAGAGGAGTTGCAGATGCGGACACTACCAGTGTTACTCTCTTGAATTATTGATACATTGTGTCACACATGCGGTAGAGAGGAGTTGCAGATGCGGACACTACCAGTGTTACTGGGGAGGGGCGACGCCGCGAGTGGCGACACATTTAGCCGAGTGAATTCTCGTGTAACTGTCTAAATGCTCATTTCGCCGTGATTAACGGATGCCATTTGTCCGAAGCTGGGTCCAGATACTGACCCGTTAATTGACTGGGACTTGCTTGTTTTATTACTCATCGCCTCGACTTCGATACATTAGGAAAGTCGCTACTGCACTGTAAACCGTAGGAGGGATATGCATTTTTTATGTCCACTTTAAAAGATTATTAAGTTACTGTACCTCATCTGGGGGTTTAAGTATTAGTTTAAAAAAAATATATGTTATTTACGTAACACTCAATGTATTTGGGAATTCGTTGTCTCTTTTTGGGTGGGGTTTGATATTTTTTAAATGGCATAGAGTCAGCTTACTTTGCAGGTGACTCTAAATCCACTAACTTGAAGCAATCATAATCCAATTTATAGATAGAGAAGATAGAGAACACGCAAGATAAAGAAACATTCCAAAATAAACAAAGTGTAAGTGTGTAAGAACTTCTTTTAAATCTCACCTACTTATAAATAGATAGTGTGCAATGAAAACGTACGGACAATGAAAACCGGTAACTTAAAACTTTTTAAAACCAAGTTTCATTATGTGACATCAAAGATACTGCTTCTGTTTTCTTCGTCTAGATATCACTGAAATGTTTAAATGGACTTTAATACTTTTATGTAGCAAGGAATTCAGGTTAACTTGATGTAAAACAAAAAAAATTATGTTGATCGTTTATCAACATAACAGCACAATCAAAGGTGATTTTATTGTGTATTACAAACATGCAAGCGTTGGAGCATTCCATAAATTCCATACCTACTAAGCCAGATAGCATATTTATAGTAAACAATTTATACTCCCTAATCTCCAACTCATCCAGGTCCCAGGTGCTTGACAACGTTAGTTCCACGTGTTTTTCTCGTCAGTTGCGGTGACATGTTGAACCGAGCCACAATGGTCCTGGTCTGGCCTTCAGCTAAATGGTTGGAGGACGCGAAGCTGAGAAATCGATAAACACACACGAACTCATGATTCACACTGAACCCCTCGAGTACACCAACTTGCGTCATTGATAGCGGGGGATCCCGTGCCCGAAACTTGTATAAAAGCCTGATGAATGTAGAGGAGTCCCCTTTATATTCGGGACAATGCGATGAGATCCATTAGGGGTGAATCACTAAAACGATTGTTTTAAAAACGCGAATGCGGTTTGTGAAAAATAAACAGCGGTTCTTAATCGTTCCAGGGATAATTAAGTTGTATTCATTGTCGCTCTTTGGGTACGTTTTGATAACTTTCTTGAATACCTGCGGTAATAAAGATTGAAAATAATGTTTTACTGAATTGTTTGCTAGAGAATGACACAGCTGAATTCTTGTAACTTAACAAAGTTAGTTAACACTAAAAATTCGTTTTTAGTTAAATCGGATAAATTAACGACGATAACGTGTCGACTAAAGCAAAATATCTACGAAAAACAATACAAAACCACGAATGTTTACGACCAAAATCTTTCGGCGGGTCGGCCCATACCCATACAAAATCGTTGACTCACAGTCCATAAACTAGTTCATCATTTGTAAATCCTAACGGAATCTTGCCTTTTAAAGATACATGAAATATTCCCCCGTGAAAATCGAAGCGCCGTATATTTAAACACACGTCACAAATCAAAGACGACGGCGGTGTCGAGGGACGAATTTATTATTACTATGCGCCGCGCGAGCACCGCGCAGAAAGACAGCAATGTCTGCTCTCAAGGGGCCAAGCTCTATTCTAGCGCACGTGGGCTTTGAAAAGCAAGCATTCCAGACGAACCCCTTTTCCAATGAAAATTCCTTGAGTTCGTTTTTAACCTGCGTGTATTTTACCTTCTATTCGGATGCAAATTCTCCAAGCACCTTTCTTAACCCTTCATTCATTCGATTAAACGCTGAATTCCCCGAGACGGACGATAAGTCATGAATAAAAAATTAACCGAGGGCCTGAAATGTTAATTACAACGAGGCCAGTTAACGAAGAAAAGACGCATGAATTCTTTTTGAAAAATCGATTGCCTCGTAAGATGCCTGTGGGAGTAAATATGTTTGCTTTTTGATTCTGAAGTAACTATCAACATGAACCAGCTGTAGCCGTTTTTTTCATAATTTTAATTTTTTTTACGGTACAAAGTTGAATGAGCCACTCAAAGAGTGTGCTGCAGTTAACATTCTACTTTCTCCCTAGATTTTGATACTACGACAGTTTATTTGATGAAAAAATCAAATATTACAACAAGTTGTTGTTTTAGTTTGGCTCGGTTAAGAAGTGAAGATTTGACAAAAAGCAGTACTCAGTCGATCGCTCGATTCAACAATGTTCATTTTCATTGTTAAAACTGGACACAACCTTGACATAGCGATGGCATGTCAACAATTTGAAGATCTACGGTAATATGTAACTACTTTAGGTAATTGCCTGTTAGAGCTAAGTAAGCCACACAACATTAAATAGCATGTACTCACTATATGAAAGTGTGAAGTAACTTACCTAGAGTGTTACGAGCAAGACCGTTCCCCGTATTGATGAGGGAGACTAGCAAGGCGCTCGTCCACAGCCACTGCATGGTCAACCCCCCTCCACCTGTGGGCAACAGAACTGCGTTAGCAACCAGTCATTAGATATCTACAGAAGAACCTAAAACATGTTTAAGAATCACAAGTTTACAGAAATAAAAGACATCCTGGGTATACAGAGACGGAATAAAAAGTAGTCCGAGTATTGGGAGACTATTCCGCCATTTTCTACGCAACGCATGACTTTTAAAAGCGCTGCTCCGAATCACATTCTTTCGGAGCAGTGCCTTAACCCCAGATTCCTTTCGAAGCATTTTCTTTCAAAGTACAGTAATGCATTTCAGAGCAATGCCGCGGGCGGACATTAATTGCGCCAACTGACCTGAGTCAGGTAGTCGAGTATTCCTGAATTGCGCCAACTACTCCAGGGAGCCACCCGATACGTTCCTTAACCAAGCCAAGTGACAACGCTCTTAGACTTTATAACTTAGATTAGGTTAGGTTAGTTTAGGTTAGGTTAGTTTAGGTTAGGTTAGGTTAGGTTAGGATGGGTTAGGTTAGGTTATGATAGGTTAGGTTAGTTAGGAAGACACGTAAACAAGGACATTCATTTGATGGCTTGGCGCAATTACGGAACTCTTTTGCGAAATTAATGCACGACCAATGCCGCACATCCTCTAGCAACAACATTGCTGTCATGTATTTAAATTCCACGGAATCGTATTTATAACCAATAGATAAAATCAACATAGGTAAATATCGTAAATGTACGAGTTTATCAATGCTACGATTAAAATACAACCACTGTCCAAAATAATACATAACAATAATAAAAGTAATGATAAAAGTATGTTCCGAAAACACTTTCGGAAATAAAATAGAAAAATAAAAACAACTTCGTTCAACTCAGAAAGAAGGAAAACAGCAAACTTAATAGTCGATGTCGTTCCAGAGAAATAGCTGACAAAGAAACATAAAAACAAAAATTGCAATAAAGGAAATTCATGTGTGGTGCTAAAAATACACGCGGCCTAAATAGTAAGCATGTAAAAGGCGAGTGAGCGTGCAAAAGTAAAACCTCGGTGTACCCATTCCCTTCGACAGATATAATAAATGTTGGTTAGCCAGACTTTGACAACACCACTTAAATGTTAAACAAAACGCACTCGAGGTAAGCCAAAGCACGCGAATCGAACATCAAACACGAAACCTGGAAATTTGTCAATTGCTTTATAAATAATGTGGAACACTCGAAGGGTAATGGAATGTGTCAATTGTTTTGAATACAATTGAGTTTTTTCAAGTGGTTTGATAGTTGGGTGTTGGAAGAGAACAGTTGCCTATTGAACTTTATTAGGTGTTTACTACTACCGATTATGTGGGTTGTTAGACATGTTTAGGGTCACGTTGGTGATATATATTACTATCAATACTATATAGTTAAAGTCAAGAGCTTATAATAGGTTGAGGAATTGGGTACAACATAGTAATTTGAAATTAATCAAATGTATTAAATGTATATTGTATATATGTTAGCCCATGAATTGGACTGTATTTATTCTGCTTGTTTATACAAGTAATATTTTGAAATAACTCTGTAGGTCTATAATTGTTTATATTAATTATTTTAAGTTTTCTTGTATAACGTCATGTTGGGCTTTTATACATTATCATCTCAGTTTATATTATTTATAATAAAACTTTTTTATAAACATCTCGCCATCTTGAAAATTGTCCGTTTGTAAATTGGCTGCATACCGTGGCATTTAAAAAGTCAATTAGGTTTTAACTGATTGAAAATAGAAAACCCATATTTACCCATTACGCTTCTAGCTTCGTAATTTCTCGATCTCATAATTTTCTTGTCCAAAGTTTATTCTAGTCCTAAATAAAATAGCTTCTAAAACTTTGTTCCCATCATCAATTTAATCATGTAACCCTTTTTCCAGTACTATCAACACGAACTAATAACTATTTTTACGAACAGGTCATTAATTAATTTTATTAAAATACGTTACAGTAATACCAAATATACCACTAAATAATTAACCGTTTTATCGCACAGAACGTGCAATCCTGAATAAGGATCTATTAAGGGTTGTTGAAAGATTAAGATCTAAAATTCACAATATCCGTATGAAAATTTGCACATCTGCAATGTTCGATGTATAGTCTAGCCTACAGTAATTTACAGTTCAGTATAGAGAGCGAACAGTAAAGGATTCGACAAGAGGACTAGAAACACAGACATTCCTGAGAAGCTTGTGGCGGAATCAAGCCCACATCCTTAACTCTGTCCAAGCCTAGATCGCTTATACATTCCGTTAACTGTTGTTTGCATACAGTGAAACTTAGGCATTATTACAGCAGTTTTTTACGATTAAATGCACTAATACACATAGGTATGAAACCAGTTGTATCGGAATTAAGTTTATTTCATTGTCTTTAAATATAAATACCACTGCAAACCTGCAGACTAAGCGAATTTCCATTTACCCGGCTGGATTTCTACAAATATCCCTAAAAATTGTCAGAATTATTTCCTATTTAAAAAACATGAATTTTAGTGAGTACTTAGGTTTGCTGCTACAAGGAAGATATTAAGGTGTGATTTTTTTATTGTAATGTTGTAATGTAGCTTAGTATTAAATAAACAAAATTGCCAAATTTGATTAAAATATATTCATAAACAAGCAAACTACAACAGCATAATTATTCTCCATAAGAATAACATGGGAATTTTTAATTTACAATTTTTTTACTATCACCGTAACCGTTGGGTATACAACAAAGCTTCTATTTACAATTTTTTTCTTTTTGCTCTACAAAATGGTTTGAAATTTTGTGTTTTAAGGGTCAAAAATGGAATAAATCAAATTGTACCCCATAAAACCCCCCATAAGCCCCCGTTCCCAAAATCCGATTATGCTGGTTCGCGAACTCGTTCGAATAAACGTAGGTTTACACGTTTGTACCAAATTTCATCAAAATCGGATCACTCGATTTATCTCACTTACGGAGACACACGCACAGGATATATATGAATTTGAGCGGATGGTGTTTTTGGCCTCTGGGGACCTCAAAACGAAAAAGTAAATCGGTCCCGGGTCTAGGTCTTACCATAAGACCAACAGTAATAGCGTATTCCCTATATGGGAAATTCTCTAAAATTGTTCCTACGAAATTAAATTTTCATCAAATTTACTGTATAAATTGGTTGCATTGATTTTTCCAAGTTATGATTGCAAATGCATACTTAACCATTCAAAATTGTAACAAAATAGTTTCACCGTGTCATTTCAACAGAAAACTTTACACATTTCAATAAATAATCACTTTCCTGAAGCTACTTCAATCAATTTTGGTTAACTGTATTGAAAATCACTGTATACAATTTAGTGCAGGTTTGGTAATGATTTAATAAAAACCTTTAAAACCGAGGGAAAAGTTAAGCAGCATTCGAATCGTCACAAAATATATTAAAATTATTTAGTTAGGGCCTATAGTGATTATTTTCTATCATATACAATTTTGTTTAATAGCATATTGTGACTTCCACTTAATATATGTAATGTTAACCCACTTTATATTGCTTAGTGAACGAAAATCTGTTATTTCAGGAATCAATGCACAGTTGAAATAAGCTTATGTACTATGAACCATTTAACCTAGTTTATTGCATTATTTAAATGATACAAACCCAATTGATCATAATCATGTTAACTTTACGACTAAACTATGGCAAACTTAAAAACAGTTTTTCCCTAATATATCAGAAAAATCTAAGGTAGAATCATGATAGGAGGATCACGATCTCGTATTTCTCATATATGGTTGACATATTTACTATACTTAGACACCCGAGTGTTCTGTACTCTAATGTCCGTTTCTGTATGTCCGATGGTGCAAACTGGCGTCTACCCCAGACCCAGAACATGGTGGGGGAAAGGTCAAAAAGCCCCGCTCTCCCAGTTGCGTACACCGGCCTCGGCCTATGCCCTACTTTTGGTTTTCAACCGAAATGAAAATAATGCCACGATTTTGAACCTATCAATTACAAACGATTCGATCTCATTCGCTTCAAGAATACCTTCAATAGTTCCAATTAGTTACCCATAGGTCAAACACATTGCGTAACTTGGTTTTGTTTACCTAATCCTGGCAAGGAGTTTATTATTCAAAGCCTCGGAATTCTCAAGTCTTTGGGTGAACCTTTATTGTACAATAGCTAGTGTATTCCTCTACTTACAGGAAAATGGTTCGACTTAATATTAAAAGTCTTCAAAGTGATTAAACAAGAATTTGACATATAACTCATCTAACCAACATTATCTGACATTTTCAACCTTGTATTACACCTTGTTATAACCTTGTAACATTAATAGCTTTGTACAAAATAAATAGATTTGCCAAGTCTGATCAAAATATATCCATAAACATGCAAACTACAACAGTTTACTTATTCTCCATACTAATAACATGGCAATTTTAAATTTACAATTTTCTCCGTAACTAATTACCATACAAAAACATTTCAATATACTAAATTATTTTTTTTAAGCTCTTCAAAATGGTCTGGAGATAAATTGGGACGTTTTGTGTTTTGAGGGTGAAAAACGAGAAAACCCAATTATTGTCCCATAAATTCCCCCATAAAACCCCGTTCCCATGGTCCGATCATACGAACTCGTTCGAATAAACATAAGTTTACACGTTTGCACCAAATTTCATTGAAATCTGATAATTTTTCCCCGAGTTATCGTGCTATCAGACATACACACCTATATATATATATATATATGTGAATTTGAAATGATGGTGTTTTTGGTCTACAGGACACCTAAACGAAAAAGTAAATCAGTCCCGGGTCCACGTCTTACCATGAGACCTACGGTAATAGCTTATTCCCTATATGGGGAATTCACTAAAATGATAGTGGGATATACGTAGAACAGCAGTTTTTCATCATGACATGTGTTGGACAACCAGCTGGCAATCCAGGGGTAAAAACTCGTACCCTAAATAGTCTATTACGACCATTAATTCAGTAATAGACCAGCTGATTCG